TCAACCATGTGGGAATATCAACACTTGGCTGCTTTGACCTAAAAAAAATGGTGATTTTATACAGTTCAACACATTAGTTTTTAATGAGTGGCTATTACTTATTTTTAAAGTCAAGGATCTTCTCCTGGGCCCAGCCTAGTGGCTCAGTGTGTGGGGAGCTGAACTGGAGTGCCAGAGGTCACATGATTGACTGTGGGTTCAGATCCCTGAGTAGTCCCAAAACTCATGCTCACAGGCCCCCAAGCTCTCGAGGAGCTAGAGGGCTGGGAAGACAGAGGCTGGTGTGATGAGGCCCTCTCAGGGTGCATTCTCTCTCTCTCTCTCTCTGTCTCTGTCTCTGTCATGAGTGCACATGTATGTGCTATTATTAAAGAAAAAGGTATTAAGAATCTTTGCCTGATACACAGTTGTTTACATGGTATTTGAACTCAACTATGTAAGAAATTCTGTGTAATTAAAGACCAAGTAACATAATATATTAGTGCTTACTACATAAGCACATGTAATTTTTAATAGAAAATAAAACCTTTTTAAAAAAACAAAAAACCTGTTATATAATTTATGTAAAGGTTCTTTATTCTTTTCTTGGTAAAGGGAAGTACCATGTCCTTTTAGTCTTCACTGAGAGGCTCCCTGAGCATGGACACATCAGTGGGGAGGTTGCCTTTCTTCCTGCGTCCTCCAGCCCACGCCCTGCTGTTGGCCACAGGCACTATAGTTCTGACCTCACTCACTTTCTGGTGTTTTTTTAGATTTTTGCCATAGGGTGTGTGTCCTCACTAGAGAGAGACAGAGGGGAGAGGGAGGGTAAGAAATCACCTCCCAGGGGGATGGCCATGCCACAATCCCTTCTCTTCCATTCTCCTCTTGGGATTGTGGGCACGCACGCACATGCACCCGTCGTGATTTTCAAGCTACTAGGTCCAGGACTATAACCATGGAGTTGGCCATGTGGGAGTAAACCCCTTAACGACCACGCCACTTGCTGCCCCAGTAATTTTGTAATTGTACTAGTTACTGGGACCAGCAGTTAGCGTAATGGCTATGTCGCTGGACTCCCATGTAGTCAACCGCGGTTCGAGTCCCGGACCTGGTGGCTTAAACTCATGCTGGGCGTGTGTGCGTGCGTGCCCAAGATCCCGAGAGAAGAATGGAGGAGAAGGGGTTGTGGCGTGACCATCCCCTCTGGGGGATGATTTCTTGTTTTCTATCTCTCTGTCTGTCTCTGTCTTTCTGGCGAGTACATGTGCCCTAGAAGAAAAACCTCTCCCCCCCAAAAAAAAAAAATTGTACTAGTTGTTAAAAATCTTTGTCTTTTCTTTAATTCTTTTTAAAAACGAGAACAAGGTGCATGACGTTTTGTTATTATAAGTAACAAAGTGTAAGTTACTTGTAGAATTTGCCTAATAGTGACATTAATAACCCTTTTCATTGATTTCTGTTTGAAGAATATCAAAGAATATTCCAACAACTAAAGATGTCGAGCCACTACTTGAAATCGATGGAGATATACGAAATTTTGAAGTGTTTTTGTCTTCAAGGACCCCAGTTCTCATAGCTCGTGATGTGAAAACCTTTTTGCCATGCACTGTAAACCTAGATCCCAAACTCCGGGAAATTATTGCAGGTGGGTGTTAGTGGTAAATTTAAGTTTTCCTGTCTGAAACCCTTACACATTTTCCTTAGCTATATATAAGTTTGTTCTCCATGAAAAACCAAAACACACTGAGCCAAGGGCTATGTAGGCAAATGAATAAAATTAAGGATTAAGAGTCTTGTCATCCTCCAAGGAGTGTTAAGAAAATGTTGTTTATCAGACTTACTTTACTATTAAGATAGCCCCTCCCCAGATCCTTACTCTGGGACTTCAGAGTCAGACTCCTTTTAGTGTAGAACCTTGGCGTGAAGATGCCAGCTGTCCCTAGTCATTTCCTGACACAGCCTTCTGTTCTTAATGGGGCTCTCTGTCCAGGGGAGTAAGAAAGTCGTTACTATTTCTTTTAAGATGTTCACCTAAGTTTGTGGATTAGACCTTGAGACATGACGTTAAGGTTGGGAAATAAATTGGGTTCTCAAGGTCCCACAGACTGCCCTGTCCTGCTGCTCACATGAATGTCCCTTTCTGGGATCCAGGGGAGGGCACACGACTTGCAGACTTGCACACTCCTGCATTCCTTTTGCAAGCTCCTGTAGAAGGCCAGTGTCAGAGGTGTCCATGTGGCTCTGAAATCTGTCACTGCTCAGAGATGGCTGAGACTCATCATTTGCAAACCAAAAGCCCTAGCTAAATTTCTACATACAAGTATGACTTATTAACAGTTTTACATATACTTTATGACTTTTAGAGTTGTTGGAACATCACAAATAAACATTTCTTAGAAGGTCAGGGAAAAAGGAATAGTTCTGGTAACCGAAGGGAGGATTCCAAATGTTGGTGATGATTCCAATGGCAAAAAATGCTTTTATGCTCAGTAGCTGGGGTTTTCTGACTGAAAGGTCTAGGGCTGTTCAGATTTCCTGTCTACTGTAATCCAGGGGCATCCCTGGCACGAGTTGTAAAATCGTGCTTCTGGTAACTGAAGAAGGAAGCGGTGCTTGGACTAATTACTAATGTCTTCTTTTGTTTCACCTTCCGGTGCGTGGGCGACTCCTCAGATGTCCGTGCTGCGAGAGAGCAGATCAACATAGGGGGGCTTGCCTACCCCCCACTCCCTCTACACGAAGCCCCTCCTCGTGTGCCGTCGGGGTACAGCCAGGCCCCGTCCGTCTGTTCTTCTTCCACTTCCTTCAACGGGCCATTCGCCGGGGGGGTGGTGTCACCACAGCCTCACAGCAGCTACTACAGCGGCATGACCGGCCCGCAGCACCCCTTCTACAACAGGGTAAGGCGGGCGGCATCTTCCCTTGGAAGGACCAGCTACAGGGAAATCCTAGAAGCTTTCCACTTAGGGGTTCTACTATGGTTTTGAAACTTTGGCTTTAAAATAGGAAAAAGTGAGTGTAAAATATGTGATTTTTTTTTTAATTCAAAAGAATTTGTGAGAGTCTGAATATTAGAGGTTCTTTTTGCTTCTATTTATTTTGACAAGAAAGTGAGCACCTCGGGGTCAGTGATGCCCTGTGCTCCAAGGAATCTGTCCCTGTGTTTGCTGATGAACAAGTGTTCCACCCGTTCCATCTGATAGTCTAGGTGGGCATTTAACAGTGGTAAGCTTACATTCCTGCAGGCAGTACACCGGTGCGTAATAGACCCTGTGTCTTTTACATGTGACGTCATCACGGGAACACTGCCTGTAGGCCTCAGCTGCTGTTGCCGAATAATAGTGCCAGAGCCCTTGTTTCTAGTTAGGGTTCCAGCTACCTTAGTCGTGTATGACTGTTCTCAGAGGAACATCGAAGCACAGTTACCAGTGCTATTCAGAACCTAGGGTGTCTAGGAGACCCAGTTTTCACTTTAATGATCTTAAACACTAGTATTTCCTGTCGGAAAATGGAGCGTGAGCCACAGTGTGGTGCTCTGGAACTGTAAGGGTAACACACGGGCAGTATTCATAGACGCCAGCTGCCTGCCTAAATGGATTTCCTACGAGCTGGGAAGAAACAGCAGTTTAGAATAAATGAGATAAAACAAGTTCCAGAATTTGTATGAACTTTTCAGTTTTTCCAAAACACTGGCCATGTAGGTAACAAGGTACCCTGTTCGTAGAGGACCCGGGAGTGTTGCTGCATTCCCATTCAGACCAGGAGAGGCAGGTGGAACGACAGCACTTTATCATGCAGTCCGGCCTTGTCAGATCCAGCTGTGTGGCAGGCAGTGCAAAGTGGCTTTCAGCAGTGTCAGAATCTGCTGTGGTTTTACATGAGAGAGCTTAGTTGATGCCAATTAAACAATTAAAAGCAAGTTTACATAAAAAGAAAAGATTTCTACATCATCTGGGCTTGAGAACTTATGTTCACTAATTTCACGAGGTCATTAGTCTCAAAGGTAAACTGGCAGGCATAAAAAAGAAGTGGAGGAAGAATGGAATAATGTTCTATCAAGACTCCAGTCTGCTTTTTTGAGATTGAGTCATTATTTGTAAATCACTTAAAACCTGACACATGGTAAGCCTATGAGCATGTTGAATGCAGATAGAAACTCGTGTCAAATTATACAGTGAAAAACTTTAGTTGCTTTTTAAAAAGACTGTGTATATTAAATAAACAATATAAAAATTAAATAATATATCTTAATTTGGGGTTTGATATGTTATAGAGTTCGAATGAAGCTTTTTTTTTAATCTTTTGTTTTGTCACATGCGTTAACCATTCTGGAGTTGTGTATTATTGGTTAGTTTTTATTGGCTAACTCTCATTTCACTTTGATTTCTGTAACTGTTTACCCCCTTTTTCTGTTACGTGTTTTTCCATAGCCATTCTTTGCCCCATATCTTTACACGCCAAGGTATTTCCCTGGCACTTCCCAACATCTCATCTCACGTCCATCAGTAAAAACGAATTTGCCCAGAGATCAGAACAATGGCCTAGTAAGTATATCAAAGGGTAACGACATATTCATTAATAATAAACTTAGATAGCTTTGCAAGTTTGGGTATTTCCTTTCCATAGTAAGACTAAAGCTATTTTATAAATAGTTTTAAGAAACATAAGCTATTACTAATATAAAATGTATTTTGTTCTCATTTCTGGTAAATACCTACAATAGGAAAATGACTAATAGTCTTAGTAAATAAATATTGGCTTATTTTCAACTGCATATTTCTGGCTTATAATGTAGTCTTTGTTACCAAAACTTTGAAAACTAAACCTTTACATCTGCTTATTTCTTATATCTTTAGAAAGCACACACATGTATAATACCTGTGTATTTACATAGATAGGCATTTGGGTATAAAAATCAAAAGATGTATTTAAAGAAAAGCATTTCACCGGCATGGCAGGAATGAAGCAAGCTAAGAGAAATTATTCAGATGTACTATTGAATGTGATTAATCCCAATCAAAACACGTTTGTGCCTAAAATCCTAGAGATTGCTGATGAGAAAGTTAGCTTAACTATCTAAAAAAGAAACTCCTTGTTAATAAACTGCATAAATTAGGAAGTGAAAAGCTCTACAACTCACGTTGCTGTCTCAGTCGTGAATGTTGTGAAGGGAAGTCTGCTCACGTGAGGGGTCTCTGGGCTCTGTTATGACTGACCGTCACCTTGTCGGTCCTCACAGTCTGGCTCTTCCCTTCCCCTTTCACCTCCGCTCTCTGTTTTGTGTTGGTAGGAAGTTATCAAGGAGGATGCTGCCGAGGGGCTTCCTTCACCCACAGACTCCTCGAGGGTAACGGAGCAGTCTCGTGGTGTGGACTGCTGGCATCTCGTGGCTTTGCAGCAGGAACACTGCCTTACTGTGGTGACAGCCGCTCACTAACTCTGCATCGTGGTGTGGCGGGCAGCTAGCCTAGAGCAGCTAGAAGCTAATCATGGTAGTTGGTGAATTAATGAAAAAGCGCTCTTTAATTTTACTCTGTATTTCCTCCTGCTTTTCCCCTTTTTCAATCAGGTGGGACTAGGTCTATTTTAGTCTCCACTAAAAGGGGGGCTTTTCCCAGCAGCTTTTGGGAGCCTGCAGTTGGTGGTATTTGCTCCTTAGTGTTGACCTCGATTTTCACCTTTGACCATTTTTACTAAGTGGATAGTTGGTTCTAGGCATGTAGGATATTTTTGAAAAGATCTAGAATCACCCTTGAGACTACAGAAAGGTATTGTTGGATGTGTACAGCAAACAGGCTTCTTTAATATATCATTCTTAATCTAGGTGTCCACAGTTAGCAAGGGCAGCGTAGACATAGTGCTTTTTCTCTGTGTGCATTTCCTGAAATGAAACCTCCAGCTAAACACAGAGCTAGTGCAGCATGTAAACAGACTTTTTTAAGCCTTTTCCCCCCAACACTTTAAGTGTGTTTCTAAAAAACAAAACACAAAAATACTTGGACAGGAAGTCACTTTGTATAATTCGTATTCAAGTCTTCGTATTTAATAAAAACAAATTTAATCTGATGAGCCTTGAATTTTCATTTAATCTGCCAGTGTGAAACTTAAGAACCCAGTTTGTATTTTAACTCTGACTCTAAAGCTGTGTGGAAATGCGGCCTAGCAGTTAGGATCAGCTGACTAAAGTTAACTCTAGGGTGGGCACCCTAAAGTCATCTCTAATTTCTAATTTAAAAAGCTTGCATTTAGGCAAGCATTCCTTTTGTAACTTCAGTTTCTTTGAATGAATGTTGATAAGAGAAGAAGAGAATCCGCTAGGTATTTTCATTGAGGTGATGATTCTTCTTATGTGGTTAAGATTTGCCTGACTTCAATTGTCCATAAAAGAGACATGATAAACCTTAATGATTCTGTTCTGATGCTTAGGGGAACGCTCATGTACGGATCGGCCCTTAATATCGGGTTGTCGGAGAAGCCGTCACTCATTTTTGCATAGAAAAACATAGAAAAAGTGCGCCGTGACATTTCCGACAACACAGTACATAGACTCCTGCCTGCGATTCGATTCTCAGCTGGAACCCTATAGCCAGCTGCTGTGAAGAACTTGGTGGAGACACAGGCATGCTGAAGCAGTAGCTGTCCCTGCCCTAACGTGGAGACACACGAAGCAAAACAGGTGTTGGTAGCTTAGTAGTTTAGACAAATTTTGAAATGAGTTTTTGGCGAAGGGGAAATAATGCAGTTCCTAAAACTAAGTGTCCTAATAACAAAGAATAGAGGTGCTCTGCAAATATTAGTGCCTTTGTTTAGTAGAATAACATCCTATTTCCTGTTCTTTCAATATTAAAAATAGTTTTGTGATCACCATAGTAAAGAATAGAGACTTACCAAGCTTCCTTTGCTTTTAAAAGATTAACGACTGTAGCATGTGAAACTTGTTTGGTAGAGGAGTAGTAGAATTAGTAACATGTAGTTGAAAGCAGTGGTGGAAGTGTGGAGAGAATCTGTCTGTGGGAAGCAGTGGAGACTTTGCAGTTGAACCAGCAGAGACTGCTCAGCACACGCAGCCCTTCACACTGTTAAGGCCTTCCAGTCCTGGAGAAAAACTGCATTTCCGGGAGAGCAGGACCGTGGGCTGATTCCATCTCTGCTCATTCAGCTGTCCCTTGTACCCAACACTTGAGAAGAATTGCTTATAGATAAGTCAGGAGCTACAAATACATTCGTGGACAAATTGTCGTGCCACTATAGATGTAAGAGAGTATATAAAAAACAAGAACCAGACCATGAAGGGTTAACCAGCTATGGTCTTTTCAAAGTATAGGAGGCCCCAACTTTTTTTTAACCACAGCACATTTCTGATAAATCTTTATAAAGCAGATCTTTCTGAAAATAATTGGATTTTCTCACATTAAGGGACATTACAGTGATTATAGCTTGTGAGGTCCAGCATGGGCTTATCAGATAATTTATAGGTACATCCTAGTGCTTCAGAAAGGTGGATATTTAAAATATAAGCCTCTATGCTAGCTTTCTACCCTCTAACTTTATAGTAGAGGAAAAAATTTGTGCCAAATTTTGTAAAACTAGAAAAATTGTATTAGCACTAGATCCCAGATAGGCTCACCAGAATATTAGAACTAGAAAGGACCAGTGTTTTTCAGACTTTCAAAGTAGAGAATACAGTTTATAAAACCAGTAAACGCAGAGCAAGTCCCCACCTTGGACTTGCTGTTGCTTTTGAAGATCCCACCAGGGAATACCAGTGTCATGAGACCCCAGTGTCCCATAGTCTAACCTGGCTTCTGCATGGCACAGAGGAGATGTGTGAGGCTTACGCCTGAGGGACAAAAACTACTTTAAAAATGTGAAGACTCCCAGGGAGATTCGAATGGGTGCCAGCACTCTCTTTCACTCCAGTTCCCACTAGGAAGTAGTAGCACTCAGGTGTCCACGAGCCTCTTTGCTGTTGAAGGCCGCATTTGGCCAGGCCTTCCAGCTGGTCTGTTTTTACTTTAGGTATGCTGCTCTTGGAAGTAACTGCATTTTGCTGAGATGCATTTTTTTCAGGGGAAGAAGTGATAACAGCATTTCATTACTCTTTTATCCTTGAATTATTTATCCTTAAATTATTCATTGATTATTATGGATTATTGATGGTCATTTATCTATCCTACTGGGATACAGCAGTAAACAAAACCCATGATAGTCTTGTCCTCGGGGAGTCTGTGGATTTGAAGGTCCCCAAGGGAATTCTCAGTACTATTAAATCATTGTTGACCCTCTCTGCCACAGGCTTTCTTCAACACCTTTGGAAAACTTTCCTTAGATCCTTTTATAACTCACTGGAAAGGCATGAGAATAATTAATTAGCACAAAGTTGAATGGTACAGAACTTCAGAATCATAAAAGCAGTCTTAGACATTTCACAATTTCATGTCTGCTCTTCCCTTTACTCTCAGAGATCTTTGAAGTCTGTTCACTAATAAACAATGAAAAAGAAAGGTCTTAGCTTTTATTAAATAAGACCCACACAATAAAGTGACCAAGTGAGAGAGTTTAAAAAAAAAAAAAAAAGATGGGGCCCTCCTGTAGACAATTCTTATTTCCACCACTGATTTAGAACTTGTAACCTGTTTGAAACAAGTATGTGTCCAAACCAAGCTGTCTCTCATTGTTCAGGAGAAGACATGGAGAAGAGAGGTAAAGACGCCATGGGTAAGGAGTGGGGACATGTAGGTTTTGGCTAGTCTGTGGGCCCTCGGGGACTTCACACAGCAGCTTCATCCATGAGAGCATTGCTCACACTTCTTAATGTATTTTAGAAGTAGATTTTTATTCTGTTTGCATTTGAGAAAGAATCAGTCTGTTTTTTCCTCTTATGAAAGCATAGTGAAAAGTTGTATTCACTCCCTGCTTGGAAGTCTTTGTGCCAGACTTCAACTGGAGAAAGCTTTTTCCCTAAACAGTTAGTACATTTCAACTGAATTCATTAGGGTATTTTCACAGAAGTGATAGCATTGAAACCAGAAGATAAGCAGTAACAAAAGCATGCTCACTGAACATGCTTGTGTTTTAAAAGATTGCCTTGGGACCAGCAGTTAGCGTAATGGCTATGTCTCTGGACTCCCATGTAGTCAACCGCGATTTGCATCCCAGACCCAGTGGCTTAAAACTCACGCCGGGCATGTGTGCGTGCGTGCCCAAGATCCCAAGAGGAGAATGGAGGAGAAGGGATTGCGGCGTGACCATCCCCCCTGGGGGGTGATTTCTCGCTTTCTGTCTCTCTGTCTCTCACTGTCTGTCTGGCAAGCGCACGTGCCCTATAGCAAAAAAAAAAAAAAAAAGAAAAGATTGCCTTAAATATAGCACTGAGACTTGTCCATCAACTCTGGCCTAGTTATTTCTCAAGTAGTTTGAAGAATCTGTTATGTTTTCCAGTCAGGTTAAGGTAGTATTTTTGCAACTCTCCATAGAAATTAACAGTAACTTTAAAAGCCCACTTTATAATATAAATAACAAAGAAGAAACAAGGTCCCCCCAT